GGACCTGTGGCTCACCTGCTACGATGAAAATGATGCCTCCACCCATGGCTATACGGGCCTTCTTCACTTTGTCATCTCCCCCGCAGCGCGTGCACTTCATGCCCAAGGTGGCCACAAACATGGCCAGGAAACCCAGCACCAGGGATATCACCATTAGGGCTCGAGTGGCCTGCAGGGCCGCTGCGGGTAAGGGGAAAGGACGCCTTCATTGCTGGAAATGCAAGCAGCCCTCAGACGACTCCAGCCGGTGCCGACTAACCCCTGGACCCTGTTCAGCCGAGGGCTGCGTTCTGGCGCCAGCCTGGAGCCCTCTGTGTCCAAGGCCCTGACCTGAGACGGCAGGTTCCCGCCCCTCCCGAGACACCCCGGCCTTCCTGCTCCCGCCCCGCCCTCGGCTCAAGGATCCGCCCGGGGCGCCAGGGTTTCGATGAAACTGCCCCAGGTAGGGGGAAGGGTCAAAGGAGGGCAGCAAAGAGAAGCAGGGACGGTGGCCGGAGCCTCCGCGCTGGCCGCACATCTCAGCCTGCGTGCCAGCTCTGACCCGCTATCGAGGACACGGGGTTTGTGGCTTCGGCTAATCGGCCGATAAGATTAGAAGCCGCAGGCGCGGCCCACGTCTAGCAAACGGCACAGCTCTCGGCTCCTCGGCCCTCGGAATGCCTCACCCCGCGCCCCCTTTTGTCTGAGAGAAAAGGGCGGGAGACGTCAGAGGCCACTGCCTGTCAGGGGCGGTGGAGGAGGGGATGACCCCGGCCTCGGACTCGGTTTCCCAGCCGAGGTGGAGACCTGGTTGGGGGCGGAAGAAAAGCGGCAGTGAAGCCCACCATGCCCAGCGTCAATTTTTTCTATATATATTAGTTGGCGCAAATTAATTTCTTTCTATTTATAGTAGAGACGGGGTCTCGCTCGTTGCTCAGGCTGGTTTCAAACCCTGACCTGAGCAATACCGCCTGCTTCAGCCTCCAAGAGTGCTTAGGATTTTTTTTTTTTTTTTTTTTTTTTTTTGAGACAGAGTCTCGCTTTGTTGTCCACGGCTAGAGTGAGTGCCATGGCGTCAGCCTAGCTCACAGCAACCTCAAACTCCTGGGCTCAGCGATCCTTCTCCTCAGCTCCCGAGTAGCTGGGACTACAGGCATGCCCACCATGCCCGGCTAATTTTTTTTATATATATATCAGTTGCCAATTAATTCTTTCTATTTATAGTAGAGACGGGTCTCGCTCTTGCTCAGGCTGGTTTTGAACTCCTGACTTGAGCAATCCGCCCGCCTCGCCCCAGAGAGCTAGGATTACAGGCGTGGAGTTGCTGGCATTGGAGTGCTAGGATTATAAGCGTGAGCCACTGCGCCCGGAGGCTAGCTTAATCTTGACTGTGAAATTAGTTAGGGATAATACAAGAAAAGTATTGTAGGCCTATTTTATCTATAAATATAGATGCAAAAATCCTTAATAAAACATTATCTAACCAAATGTAAAAGTGTACTTAAAGAGCAATACATCACAAACAAGGACAGTTTATCCCAGAAATGCAAGTGTTTCAATATTGCAAAATCCACTAATGTTATTCACTACAATAGTAGACTAAAGAAAAAAATCATATGGTTACCTCAATTGATAATTTTAAAAAGCATTGATAAGGTTCAGCACCTCCTTATCGTAACAATTCTTAGTAAACAAAGATTAGAAATTCTTATACTTAATGAAAAAAATGTTAGACTCATATCTTTTATGATTGGAGAAAGGACAAAGATGTCTACATTTGCCACTCTTGTTTGACAAAATCCTGGAGGTCTGGAACAATACTACAAGGAAATAAAAGAAACAGTAGTACATATACTCTGGGAGGCTGAAGCGGGCGGATTGCTCAAGGTCAGGAGTTCGAGACCAGCCTGAGCAAGAGTGAGCCCCCCCCCCAGTCTCTACTAAAAGTAGAAAGAAATTAGCGGACAACTAAAAATATATAGAAAAAATTAGCCAGGCATGGTGGCACATGCCTGTAGTTCCAGCTACTTGGGAGGCTGAGGCAGTAGGATCGCTTGAGCCCAGGAGATTGAGGTTGCTGTGAGCTAGCCTGAAGCCATGGCACTCTAGCCCAAGCAATAGAGTGACACTCTTATCTCAAAAGAAAAGTAAAACTATGAAGTTACTGGAAGAAGATGTAAAAGAATATCTTCATGGTGCAGAGATGGAAAAGAACATATACAAATTTTCAAAATCACAAACCATAAGAGAAAAAAAATGGTCATTTTGATTACACCCAAACTAAGGATTTCTCTTCAATGAAGTTTGCCAAGGAAAAATTAATAGGCAGATGATAGCATGGGGGAAGATATTTGCAATGTCCAATCTGACAAGGAACTGAGACCATTTTTTAACAAGTCTTACCAATAAACAAGAAATACTCCAAGAGAAAAGAGGCAAAGAAGATGACGAGGAAACCGCAGGCACGGTGGTTTCAGCTTCAGGATGCTGCCCAGTTGTTCAAGTCCAGCCTCAGCAACATAGTGAGACCCCTGCTCTGCAGTGTGTGTGTGTGTGTGTGTGTGTGTGTGTGTAGGAAATTTGCCAAAGAAGAAAGCCAAAGTCCTGACAGGGGTTTAACGGGATGTTCCAAACCATAACTAATCAAAGAAAACTGCAGTAAGATATCACCTCTCACTTATTTTACTTATAAATATTAGAAATCCAAACTGTTTCCCATTTATTTGATTAAAATATCATATAGTCCATTCTGGCTAAAATTTAAAAGACTGACCATATAAGTGTTGATGGAGGTGTAGTAGCTAACTGTAACTGGCTTTGGTGTAAAAGCAGACTTTAACAAGTCGTTATAGTTCATTTGTATTTGTACATTTGATAGATGGTGAAGTTTTGTTTTTGCTTTGGTTTTTAGGACAGAGTTCACTCTGTTGCCCCTGGCGTAACATGCCATAGTTCAGTGCTAGTCCAAACAACCAATCCGGCTCAAGCATCCTGCGTCCTCAGCCTCCCAAGTGCTGGTACAGGAATGCACCGCGACAGCTGGCTAATTTCTATGTTATTTTAGGTGCCATTAATTTCGTTCTATTTGTCAGTAAAGATGGGTCTCGCTTCTGTCAGGGTGTTTCGAACCCTGGACCTTGAGTGAATCCCCTGCTGCAGCTCCAGAGTTGCTAGAGGACAGGCGCTGAGCCACACCCCAGCCCACTCTTGTCCTTTAAGAGTCTATTCTCGGAGTACCTCTTTTTACAAACTTTAGAGCTTGTCATTTCTGTTAAGATCTTTCAATGGCACTTTATGCTCTGCATATAGTGCCACACCATGCTTACCTGAATCTCTGTGCTTCAGCACACTGGCCTTCCTCTGTTTCTGAAAACGATACTATTTTCCTTCCACTGAATCCTTCACACACTCTATTGTCTATGGCTGGATGCTCCACTCATTTCCCTTACCTACCTTCCTCTACGACTAACGCAACTCATCGTTAGCTATCGTTTAAGCTTATCACTTCTAGGACCTGCCGACACCCCACCCAACTGAGTCGATCAGTTCTGCTCAACACTCTCACAGCTACCATACTTTTCTTCAAAGCTCTTATCATAGTTTGAAATGACTGTATTACTTTGTGTCGTATTTACTCGATGTTAACTTGTCCTGCACTATAAGTTCCAAGAGGGTAGAGATGTGTCAGGATTTATTACCAATGAATAGTTGATAAAGAATGAATTGCAAGCAAACAATATTTCGTCCACTGTTCAAAGTATGTATAATATGTCAGGCACTATGTTGACCCTGGAGATACAGCAGTGACGAAACAGATGTGAACACTGCACTTATGTAACTTGCTTCTAAACAGAGGTGATCAGGCAACAAAAGACACAAAACAAAATGACACCAAGTTTTGAGGCAATAAAACAGGGTAATGTGATGAGTTGTCTGCTCTAGGGTGAAGTCAGGGAGAACTTTCTGAGAATCACTGTAATAAAAGCCAGCCATGAAGAATCATGTTATAGCAGAAGAACAGCAAATGCAAAAGACCTGTGTCAATTGACCCTTTGAGACTTGTCCTTTGTACCAACTGTCACGTCTAAAGAAAATAAAGAAAAAAAAAAAGAAGAGAGAGAGAGAGAACTTGTCCTCATTAATTAAAGCAGAATTTCTTAACCTTGACACTATTGACTTTTTTTCCCAAAAGGTGCTACCTCCAACTATTGCCATTTGGGACCAGATAATGCTTGTTGTCCTGTGCATTATAGATAGTGGCTTAATAGCATCCCTGACTTCTATCAATTTGATGCCATACAACCCTCCCCTGCATCCCAATGTGACAAAAAATGTCTCCAGACATTTGTCAAAGTCCCAGGGAGGAAGAGAGCAATTGGTCCCAGTGATGAATCACTGATTAAAGTTGACCAGTGAGTATATTGGCATTCTTTCTCCCAGTAGCTCGAAATAAATAGTTGGGGCAAGGACCAGTATATGGATGTTGAAATTAACCCAGGGTTGGAGGTTGCTAAAAGAGGAGAAGGGATTTAGTGTATTTGCATGATAGTGATTATGGTTAGATCATGAATATAAATTGGTAAGAAGGGAGCAAACACGAAAAGAATTGATGAATAGTGAAAATCGGCAGGTTAAGGTTAATTCCCCATGAGGTGAAAGAAGTGAAATACATGAATAATGAACTGAAGGCTAGAGGTAATCATAAGATCATGGGTGGCTTGAATCAATAAATTGGAAGAGGTGTTTTGGGATGACATAAGGATGCGGCTGGAGAGAAGATCACTGAAGATAAGATAAGAGCTGGCCAGGCGTTGTGGCTCACACCTGTAATCCTAACACTCTGAGAGGGCGAGACAGGAGATCAATTGAGGTCAGGAGTTCAGACCAGCACTGAGCAAGAGCGAGACTGTCTCTACTAAAAAATAGAGAAATAGCAGGGGTGAGTGGGTCACGCCTGTAATCGCCAGGTACTTGGAGGCTGAGACAGGAGAATCACTTGGAGCCAGGAGTTTGAGGTTGCTGTGAGCTAGATAGATGCCCACAGCACTCTAGCCCGGGGCAGCAGAGCAAGACTTTGTCTCCTAAACAAACAAATAAACAAAAAAAGGCTGAAGAGCTAAGAGGCAGCATTAGCATGGATTACCTGAGGATTTTAAAGTCATCAACAATGATGTTAGGAAAATGTGTAAGAGGAAGAGAATACCCAGGGGTTAAAGTTATCGTGAATTGGGCCAGTGACCAGCTAAAGACCTAGCATCAAAAATGGCAGATGCCGGCATGGTGGCTCACGCCTGTAATCCTAGCACCTCTGGAGGCGAGAGGGCGGATTGCTCAAGTCAGAGTTCGAAACCAGCCTGAGCAAGAGCGAATCCCATCTCTACTATAAATAGAAAGAAATTAATTGGCCAACTAATATATATAGAAAAAATTAGCCAGGCATGGTGTGCATGCTGTGAGTCCCAGCTACTCGGGAGCCTGAGCAGAAGGACGCTTGAGCCCAGGAGTTTGAGTTGCTGTGGCTGGCTGACGCCATGGCCTCACTCTAGCTTGGAAACAAAGCGAGACTCTGTCTCAAAAAAAAAAAAAAGAAAAAAGAAGAAAAAGTGGGGATGAAATAATTTGAAACATGAACTTCAAGGGAACAAGAGATTTTGAAGGATAAAGGAAGAATAATGGTCTAAATGCAGACCCTGAGGTATGTGAACTAGGACCAAGTCCTCCAGACAGCCAGGTCTCAGTAAGGTCTAAGAAAGGTAAATTCAGAGAAGAGGTGGGGCATATAAGGATGATGACACATACTGGGTCCAGAGGTCACAGTGGAAAGTTGACAGCAGTCTGTTGAAGATTGGATCAGATTAGATGTTATACACCACAGTGGGGATGTTGGATGATGATATTATGAGTTAAACAACCTAGTATGGAAACCCAACCAACTTGTTTGTTTCTATGGGAAAATGTTCTGAATTCTGAAAAACTGATACGGAAATGAACTTTGGAAACTTGCAGTATTATTTATAAAGTAATTGGTCACTGATTGTTATACTGGTCAGACCAAGAAGTTATAGACCCAAGGCAGATAGAATAGTCTAGGTTCTAATTCCACTTCATTCAGGACTTTATTCTTGGGCCTCAATTGTCTCATCTATGAAATAGAAGTGATAATATTTGTATCTGCTTAGGAAATAAGAGGCTGGGCCAGTTGATAGCCTATGGTTGATTTTGGTGTGAATTTGAGATACAGATTTGGAAAAGGAGTGAAAAATGACGAGCTCGTTTTAGAGGCTAGGTTAATCTTTGTGTGTGTGTGTGTGTGTGAGACAGAGTCTCACTTTGTTGCCCAGGCTAGAGTGAGTGCCGTGGCGTCAGCCTAGCTCACAGCAACCTCAAACTCCTGGGCTCAAGCAATCCTTCTGCCTCAGCCTCCCAAGTAGCTGGACTACAGCATGAGCCACCATGCCCAGTTAATTTTTCTATATATATTAGTTGGCCAATTAATTTCTTTCTATTTATAGTAGACACGGTCTTGCTCTTGCTCAGGCGTTTCAAACTCCTGCCCCTTGCAGTGAGGTCTTGCTTCGAAAGAAAAAAAATAAAAAAAAAAAAAAAAAAAAAAATCCTGACCGGTTGAGCCAATCCGCCCTGCTTCAGCCTCCAAAGAGTGGGCTACGCGCCCCCTTTTGTCTGAGAGAAAAGGGCGGGAGACGTCAGAGGCCACTGCCTGTCAGGGGCGGTGGAGGAGGGGATGACCCCGGCCTCGGACTCGGTTTCCCAGCCGAGGTGGAGACCTGGTTGGGGGCGGAAGAAAAGCGCAGCGGGCCGGGGAGCGGCCTCACGTGGCGCCGCCAGAACCCGGCCCGCAGCCGCCAGCCCCACCGCCAGGCCCGACCACTTCCGCTTCCTCCTGCTCCCCGGCAACCCTGGGCGCCCCGGCGCGGGACCGGGCCCTGCCCCGCACACCACCCGCCACCCCTGCCCCGGCGCGCCCGCCCCGTCGCTCCCGCGGCCTTACCCGACAGCGCGAGCACTGAGTCGTACATTTTGCAGCTCATCATGCCCGTGCTCTGGATGACGCAGTCCATCCACAGCCCCTTGTACATGGCCTGGGCCGTGATGATGTTGTCGCCCGCGTACGAGCTCATCTGCCACTGCGGGATGGCGGTGCAGGCCACCAGGCCCACCCAGCCCAGCAGAGCCATGGCAAAGCCCAGCAACTGCAGGCCCGAATTGGCCATTTCCGCCCTCAGAAAAGGACTAAGGGCGCCGAGCGGGCGACCCTACAGTAAAACAAACAAAACTTGGGGGGCAGCCCCACAAAAGACAACTTGGGGCGGAGTTTTTAAGTCACCCAAAAAGACAAAAAAGTTCTTGGCCAAGTGACTGCAAATCTTGTCACTCTTAGTACACACAAATCGGCCTCCCAGTGGAGCGATGGCCTCGCGGCAGAGGGAACAGGCTACGCCGGGAGGAGTGGATCCAGACAAAAGCGGTCCCCGAAGGCCAGGCGGTTCCCTCCGGCGCTCTCGACGACCCTACCCAAGCAAAAGGTGGAGGGGACGTATGGGCGCGGTCCTGGGTGCCAGCAAGCCCCAGAGAGTATCCTGGGCTGTCAGCCCGAGGCTGCGGTGCGCGGAACAGGTTGCTCCGAGGTGAGCCGGCAGGTGCGGGCGAGCAGGTGCGGCGCACCTGAGTATATGTAGGGCGTCGGGGGCGCGGCCCCGCAGGCACCAAGAGTGCGGGAGGGGGGGGGCGGGGCCGGAGGGGAGGCAGAGGGTGACCTGACGTCACCGAAGGGACACTCACCTGAACCGGAAGTCGTTGCCCCCACCCCTCCTTGCCCAGGTGAGGAGGAAGAAACCTGAGCTCCAGGGTCACACCCCTTCACTTGCCGGGCTTTGACCGCTGGTGCGGAGAAGGCGGTGGCTGCTCCGGAGTCCCAAGCTCCGAGTCAGCCCCTCGGACTGGACTTCCCTTGGTTGGGCACAAGGTGCCTCTTCCCCTCTTCCCGACAGGTGCGCCTGGGACGCGGCTGAGCCTGAGCTGGGAGACGCCCCTGGCCAGCCTCGGTGCCGCCCTTTCCCCCACCGGTTTCTGCCCTAAGTGCTCTTTGTCCAGCCCTGCTTTCTCCAGCCCCCACCGTCTGCTCTTCTCCGTTTTCTTCTGTCTCCTACCCTAGCCGATCCCACCTTCTGGGGCCCTGGCCAGAACCCTGAGAATCACGCCCTTCAGCAGCCTTCTTGGAGTTTCCACTCCAGGCGACAACTCCCAGCACCGCACCCTCTTACTCCTGGCCCTCCGGCTCTGCCCTCCCAAAGACACCCGGTTTCTAATCACAGCTCCCCAACAGCCCCCACCTTCCTGGCCCCCCATTCCAATCCCTGACATGACTTAATGCCTGGGTCCTTCACTGTCCACCTCCCACCTGTCAATATCCCCTCCAGCATCAAGGCTCCTTCTAGCAGAAGGAAGAAGCCACAGAGGGTGGGGAGCAGGGTAAGGTCTAGGTCAGAGTCTTGGCCACACCTACCCTTCCCCTCCCTTGGAGTCTTTTCAAACCGATCCTCCACCTTCCCCACCCCCGGCCCCAGCCACTCACCCATTTCTCCTTCCCTCTGGAGCCTGGACCGGACTGTTGGTGTGCACTCTGTCACTCCCCTCGCCGTTCTGTTGTCCCTACTATCTGGCCCTCCAAGGTGATTTTGGCCTCCCTCCTTACCCTGGCATTCCTGCTATCTCTCCCTAAGCCATTGCCCTGTTCTTTCTCCCAAGCATCCATTCATCTCTCACTCATCTTTGATCATCTCCCCTTCCACTTTGTAGCTTCTGTTTCTGTTTCACTCTGTTAGTTTACCTTTGTACGCTACCTCCAGCCCTCTTGCAATTGCATTGCAATCAGTCGTTCTTCCCTCTTCCTAACTGCACGTTGCTGCCTCCCCCACCCTTTTTTCTTGCCCAGTTTCCTCCAACCTCCTGTACCGCTTGGGCTCTCACACGCTCTGCTTACTCTGTCTCTCATTTCATTCTCCTCTCTTCATTTTTTACTTCTACTCTCTCGCACTTCCCATCTTTGTTCTTCCCTCACAAACATTTCTCTGTAAATCTCCTTCATTTATCCAATAAACATATTAAAGGACTTTTCATGCTAAGCTAATTAACCTGCTTTGTGTAAAATGCAGACTTTAACAACTCTTTATTATTCATTTGTATTGTTGTACTTTTGGATTAATGGTGAGCTTTTGTTTTTGGTTTTGGTTTTTTTGAGACAGAGTCTCACTCTGTTGCCCTGGCTAGAATGCCATGGAGTCAGGCTAGCTCCACAACAACCTCAAATTCCTGGGCTCAAGCAATCCTCTGCCTCAGCCTCCCAAGTAGCTGGGACTACAGGCATGAGCCACCATGCCTGGCTAATTTTTTCTATGTATTTTTAGTTGGCCAATTAATTTCTTTCTATTTTCAGTAAAGATGGGTCTCGCTCTTGCTCAGGGTGGTTTCGAACTCCTGACCTTGAGTGATCCACCTGCCTCAGCCTCCCAGAGTGCTAGGATTACAGGCGTGAGCCACCACGCCCAGCCCACTCTTGTCCTTTTAAAGTCTATTCTCTGGAGTGACTTCTTTTTACAAACTTAGAGCTTGTCATTTCCTGTTTAAGATCTTTCAATGGCACTTTTATGTTCCTGCAAGTAAGTGCCACACCATGGCTTACCTGACTCTCTGTGCTTCAGCCACACTGGCCTTCCCTCTGTTTCTGAAACATACTATTTTCCTTCCCACTGAAGTACCTTCACACACTCTATTGTCTATGCCTGGATGCTCATCTCCATTTTCCTTACCTACCTTCCTCTACCCAGCTAACCAACTCATCGTTCAGCTATCGTTCAAATATCACTTCTAGGAAGCCTGGCCTGACCACCCCACCCCAGACTGAGTCAGATCATCTGCTCAACACTCTCACAGCTACCAGTACTTTTCTTTCAAAGCTCTTATCATAGTTTGAAATGACTGTATTTACTTTGTGTCGTTATTTACTCGATGTTAGACTTGTCGCTGCACTATAAGTTCCAAGAGGGTAGAGATGTGTCAGGATTTTATTACCAATGAATAGTTGATAAATGAATGAATTGCAAGCAAACAATATTTTCGTCCACTGTTCAACAAGTATGTATAATATGTCAGGCACTATAGTTGACCCTGGAGATACAGCAGTGAACGAAACAGATGTGAACACTGCACTTATGTAACTTGCTTCTAAACAGAGGTAGATCAGGCAACAAAAGACAAAAACAAAATGACACAAGTTTTGAAGGCAATAAAACAGGGTAATGTGATGAGGTTGAGTCTGCTCTAGGGTGAAGTCAGGGAGAACTTTCTGAGGAAGTCACTGTTAAATAATAAGCCAGCCATGAGAGAATCATGTTATAGGCAGAAGGAACAGCAAATGCAAAAGACCTGTGTCAACTGACCCTTTGAGACTTGTCCTTTCTACCCAACTGTCAGGTCTAAAAGAAAATAAAGAAGAAAAAAAGAGAGAGAGAGAGACTTGTCCTCATTAATTTAAAGCAGAATTTCTTAACCTTGACACTATTGACATTTTTTTTCCCCAGAAGAGTTGCTACCTCCAACTATTGCCATTTGGGACCAGATAATTCCTTGTTGTCCTGTGCATTATAGGATATTTAATAGCATCCCTGACTTCTATCAATTTGATGCCAATACAACCCTCCCCTGCATCCCAATGTGACAAAAATGTCTCCAGACATTGTCAAATGTCCCAGGGAGGAAAGAGGCACAATTGGTCCCAGTGATGAATCACTGATTTAAAGTGTGACCAGTGAGTATTATTGTGCATTTCTTTCTCTCCAGTAGCTTCGAAATAAATAGTTGGGTGCAAGGACCCAAGTAGATGGATTGTTGAAATTAACCAGGGTTGGAGGGTTGCTAAAAAGAGGGAGAAGGGATTTTAGTGTATTTGCATGATAGTGATTATGGGTTAGATCATGAATATAAATTGGGTAAGAACAGGAGCAAACACGAAAAGGAATTGATGAATAGTGAAAAACTGGCAGGGTTAATGGTTTAGAGTTCCCCACGAGGTGAAAGAAGTGAAGATACATGAATAAATGAACTGGAAGGCTAGGAGGTAATCATAAGATCATGGGTGGCTTGAATTCAATAAATTGGAAGAGGTTGTTTTGGGAGATACATAAGGATGGGCTGGAGAGAAAGATCACTGAAGATAAGACTGAGGAGCTGGCCAGGCGTTGTGGCTCACACCTGTAATCCTAACACTCTGGGAGGCCGAGACAGGAGGATCAATTGAGGTCAGGAGTTCAAGACCAGCCTGAGGAAGAGCGAGATCCTGTCTCTACTAAAAATAGAGAAATTAGCAGGGTGAGGTGGTGCACGCCTGTAATCCCAGCTACTTGGGAGGCTGAGACAGGAGAATCACTTGAGCCCAGGAGTTTGAGGTTGCTGTGAGCTAGATAGATGCCACAGCACTCTAGCCCGGGGCAGCAGAGCAAGACTTTGTCTCCTAAACAAACAAATAAACAAACAAAAGGCTGAAGAGCTAAGAGGCAGCCATTAGATGGATTACCCTGAGGGATTTTAAAGTCATCAACAATGATGTTAGGAAAATGTGTAAAGAGGAAGATGAATACCCAGGGGTTAAAGTTATCAGTGAATGTGGGCCAGTGACCAGGCTTAAAGACCCTAGCATCAAGAAAAGTGGCAGATGGCCGGCATGGTGGCTCACGCCTGTAATCCTAGCACTCTGGGAGGCCGAGGTGGGGCGGATTGCCCAAGGTCAGGCGTTCGAACACGCCTCGAGCAAAGTCGGATCCTATCTCTACTATAAACTGAAAGAATTAATTGGCACTAATATATATCAAAAATTAGCCAGGCATGGTAGTGATGCCTGGTCCCAGTCTCGGGGGAAGCTGAGCAGGAAGGACCGCTTTGAGCCCAGGGAAAGTTTTTTGAGGTTGCTGTGAGCTAGGCTGACGCCATGGCCCTCACTCTGCTTGGACACAAGCGAGACTCTGTCTCAAAAAAAAAAAAAAAAAAAAGAAAAGAAAAGTGGCGGATGAAATAATTTGAAACATGAACTTCAAGGGAACAAGAGATTTTGAAGGATAAAGGAAGAATAATGGTCTAAATGCAGACCCTGAAGGTATGTGAACTAGGACCAAGTCCTCCTGACAGCAGTCTCAGTAGGTCTAAGAAAGGAATTCAGTAGAAGAAGGTGGGGCATAACAGGATGATGCACATACTGCGGTCCAGGAGGTCCAAGTTGGACAAGTTTAGAGATCAAGTTGGTTTGGAAAGATTGGGATCAGATTAGATGTTATACACCACAGTAGGGGGATGTTGGATGATGATATTATGAGTTAAACAACCTAGTATGGAAACCCAACCAACTTGGTTGAAACCCCCACCCGCCGCCGTTCTATGCAAATGTTCTGAATTCTGAAAAACTGATTCGGAAATGAACTTTGGAAACTTGCAGTATTATTTATAAAGTAATTGGTCACTGATTGTTATACTGGTCAGACCAAGAAGTTATAGACCCAAGGCAGATAGAATGTCTAGCGTTATTCCATTCATTCGGACTTTACTGGGCTCAATCCTGTCTCATCTATGAAATAGAAGTGATAATTTTGTATCTGGTTAGGAAATAAGAGGCTGGGCGTTGATCGCTTGGTTGATTTTGGTGTGGATTTTGAGATCAGATTGAAAGCGAGTGAACATGAGAGCTCGTTTTAGAGGCTAGGTTATCTTTTTGTGTGTGGTCTGTGTGTGAGAGGTCTCATTTGTTGCCAGGTAGAGGTCCGTGGTCAGCCTAGCTCACGCAGCCACCTCCAAAACTCCTGGGCTCAAGCATCCTTCTGCTCGGCCTCCAAGTGCTGGGACTAAAGGCTGGCCACCATGCAGATAATTTTTCTATATTATTTTTAGTGGCTGGCCAATACTTTCTTTTGTATTTATAGTAGAGACGGGGTCTTGCTCTTGCTAGGCTGGTTTCAAACTCATGACTTGGCGTGAGGTCTCTTGCTTCGAAGAAAAATAAAAAAAAAAAAAAAACAAAACAAAAAAACTCCTGACCTTGAGACATCCGCTGCTTCAGCTCCAAAGAGTGCTAGGATTCATAAGCGTGAGCATTGCTCGCCGCGGAGGTATCTTAACTCTTGACTGCTATTAATTTAGTTTAGGGATAATACAAGAAAGTTTGTGGCCTATTTGTATCTAAACATATGCATGACAAAATCTTAATAAACATTATACTACCAATGTAAAGTGTACTTACAAAGCCAGATACATACAACAGGACAGTTTATCCCAGAATGCAAAGTGGTTTCGAAATATTGCAAATCCACTATAATTTATTCACTACATAGTAGACATAAGAAAAAATCATATGGTTACTCAATGTAAATCTTTAAAAACTTGATAAGTTCAGCACTCTTATGTAAACAATCTCTAGTAAACAAAGATTAGGAAATTCTCTATACTTATGAAAATGTTACCATATCTTTTGATGCATTTGGAGAAGACAAAATGTATACATGCACTCTTGTTTGGCAAACCCTGGAGGTCTGGAACAATACTACAAGAATAAAGAAAATGTCTACAATCATACTCTGGAGGCTGAAGCGGGGGATTGCTCAGGTCAAGGAGTTCGAGACCGCCTAGCAAGAGTGAGCCCCCCCCCCAGCTCTATAAAAAATAAAGAAATTGCCGGAACTAAAAATATATGAAAAATTAGCCAGGCATGGTGGACATGCTATAGTTCCAGCCTACTTGGGGAGGCTGAGGCGTAGATCGCCATTGAGCCAAGAGATTGAGGTTGCTGTGAGCTAGCCTGAAGCATGGCACTCTAGCCCAATGCAATAGGACATCCTTATCTCAAAAGAAAAAAGAAACTAAACTATGAAGTTACTGGAAGAAGATGTAAAAGATATTCTTCATGTGCCCAGAGGATCGAAAAGAACATATTACAAATTTTCAGAAATCACAAACCATAAGAGAAAAAAAATCGAGTCATCTCTGATTACACCCAAACTAGGATTCTCTTTCAATGAAGTTTTCCAGAAAAACATTATAGGCAGATGATCGCATGGGGAAGATATTTGCATGTCCAATCTGACAAGGAACTGAGACCATTTTTTAAAGTCTTACCAATAAACAAGAAATACTCAAGAGAAAGAGGCAAAGAAGATGACGAGGAAACCGAGCACGGTGGTTTCAGCTTCAGGAGCTGCCCAGTTGTTCAAGTCCAGCCCTAGCAACATAGTGAGACCCCTGCTCTGCAGTGTGTGTGTGTGTGTGGTGTGTGTGGTGTGTGTAGGAAATTGCCAAAGAGAAGCCAAAGTCCTGACAGGGGTTTAACGGGATGTTCCAAACCATAACTATCAAAGAAAACTGCAGAAGAGTATCCTCTCACTTTTTTACTTATAAATATTAGATCCAAACTGTTTCCCATTTATTTGATTTAAATTCATATATCCATTCTGGGTAAAATTTAAAAGACTGACCATATAGTGTTGTGGAGTGTAGTTAAACTGGAATTCTTTTTTTTTTTTTTTTTTTGAAGAGAGTCACTCTGATGCCAGGTAGGGTGCGTGGGCATCATCCTAGCTCACACCAACCTCAAACTCCTGGGCTCAAGTGATCCTCCTGCCTCAGCCTCCCGAGTAGCTGGGACTACAGGCATGTGTCACCATGCCTGGCTAATGTTTTCTATATATTTTTAGTTGTCCAGTTAATTTCCTTCTATATTTAGTAGAGACGGGGTCTCACTCTTGCTCAGGCTGGTCTCGAACTCCTGACCTTGAGCAATCCTCCTGCCTTGGCCTCCCAGAGTGCTAGGATTATAGGCTTGAGCCACCATGCCCGGCCTAAACTGGAACTCTTATACACTACTGGTGAGAATGTAAAATCGTACAACCATTTTGGAAAACAGTTTGGCAGTTTCATAAAAAGTGATACATACACCTATCATATAATCCAGCCATTCTACTCCTAGCTATTTTCCAAGAGAAATGAAATCATATGTCCTTACAAAGATTTGTACATTGAATGTTCCTTGAGGCTTTATTTGTAATAGCCCCAAAGTGGAAACAACGCAAATATCCATCAACAGGTGGGTGAATAAATTGTGGTATATTCCTACAATGGAATATTATTCAGCAGTATAAAAAAGTAAACACTCAATACATGCAAAATAATAGATGAATCTCAAAATCATCATGTTAAGTGAAAGAAGCCAGACAAAACAAGTACATCCTGTATGATTCCCTTTACATAAAATTCTAGAAAATGAAAACTAGTCTATAATGACAGAAAGCAGATCAGTGCTATGCTTGCCTAGAGCATGAGAGAAAGGGCTGGAGGAAGGGATTACCAAGGGGTACAAGGAAACTTAATTGGCAGTGAAAGCTATATTCATTATCTTGACTGTAGGGATAGTTTCACGGGTATATACATATGTCAAAATATATTGTACACTATATTTTTATTTTTATTTATTTTAATTTTTTTTGAAACAGAGTCTCACTCTATTGCCCAGGCTAGAGTGCCGTGGTGTCAGCCTAGCTCACAGCAACCTCAAACTCCTGGGCTCAAGTGCTCCTCCTGCCTCAGCCTCCCAAGTAGCCGGGACTAGTGGCATGTGCCACCGCGCCTGGCTAATTTTTTCTATTTCTAGTGGAGACGGGATCTCATTCTTGGTCAAGCTGATCTTAGAACTCCTGAGCTCAAGCGATCCTCCTGCCTTGGCCTCCAAGAGTGCTAGGATTACAGGCATGAGCCATTGCACCTGGCCTATTTTTAATTTTTTTTTTTTTATAGATGGGGTCTCACTATGTTGCCCAGGCTGGAGTGCAGTGGCTATTCCCAGGCACAATCCCTCTACTTATCAGTGCAGGAGTTTTCACCGGCTCAGTTTCCAACCTGGGCAGGTTTACCCCTCCTTAGGCAACCTGGTGGGCCCCCTGCTCCTGGGAAAATTGTACACTTTAAATATATGCTGTTTATTGTATGTGAATTATACCTCAATTAAGCTGTTTAAAAAGAAAAACAAAAGATCTTATTTTTCGATCTATTCTAAGCACTATATAAATATTATATTATTCACCTTCATTAACACCCTAAGATGTAGATACTATTATTATCTCCCTTCTCGTTTTACAGATGACGTATATGGCATAGGGAGCTTAGGTAACCCTCAAAGGGCACAAAGTGAGTAAATAACAGAGCTGGGGCCCAGAGTCAGGCAGTTTGGGCCCAGGGTCCATACTCTTAACTGTGCTGCCTCTGAGTGGATGCTGACTGAGAGGACAGGGTGGTGGCAGAACCCTCCTGCACTGCTGATGGAAGTAGAATGGGACATCCATTCTGAAGAGCAAGCTGGCAGTACTTAGTCATTAGGTATAAGAACACCCTATGACTCAGCAATTCTGGCCCTGCAGTTAGATATAAATATAGACACAGTCATAGACATAGATGTAACTTCCAAAGAAGTTCTCACAGGGGTCTATAAGGCACCTTGTAGGAAAATGTTCATCGCCATATTATTTGTTGCAGTGGGAATTTGAGGTCACATGGGATTGTTGGCAGGTAAAATGGGGTGTGACTCACACTGTGGAGTGTCATGCAGCAATAGCTTTGATAATCGTAGAGCACGAGTGGATTTTTTTTTTTTTTTTTTTTTTTTTGAGACAGTGTCTCACTCTGTCACCCAGGCTGGAGTGCAATGGCACAATCATAGCTCACTGCAGCTGCAAACTCCTGGGCTCAAGCAATTCTCCAGCCTCCCAAATAGCAGGGACTGTAGATGCATGACCCCACACCTGGCTAATTTTTCCTATTTTTTGTAGATATGGGGTCTCACTATGTTGCCTGGGCTGGGAAACAAATAATTTTAAAAATAATTATAGGACATAGATCAATGAAGACAATATGCCAAGAACTGTATCATTAATCCAATCTTCTGCACCTGAGACTCAAATATATGAACAAAATATAGAGAAGAGGCAGTGTTGCTGGAGTTCAGAGGTCAAGGTCTCTCCCCAGAAGCTGGAAGCAAAATAGACCTGTAGAATAGGAATTGGGTGTGGGGGGAGCTTTCTTGAAGGATGAATAGGAGTCCTTTGGCATTCCAGATTGTGGGGAGGATTAGAGCAACAAAGGCACCAAGCAGGGTCAAAAGAGCAGTGTATTCTGGGTAGAAGTAGTCTGGCATTGCCCAGAACATGATAGAGGAGAGAAGGTAAGGCAGGTGAGATAGGTAATGCAGAGATAGGAGAGGCAGGAGGCTTTGTTCCCTCTGAAAAAGGGCTTGAACTTGACAGTGGGGGGCAACAAAGAGTCAGTGAAGTCTTAGGTGAGAGTGATGAGGTCAGACCTTTGAAAATTGCACTCTGCCCTCCTTGTAGGGGAAAAGGAGTAGCAGGAAGACCAGTCAGGGTGACGGTGGTCTGCACTAACGTGGCAGCAGTACAGGTGGAGAAAATTAGACGACTGTGAGAGGGTCTGGGCCAAAACCCCAATGTTGGGGTCTAACTGGCTAAAGAGGAAAGGAGCGGCGAGGGACAGGAGGAACCAAGCGTGATTTCCACCACAGGAGCGACTGGGTGAGTAATTCACTGGGTAAGGAAGTTAGGAGGAGCAGGTTTGGACATGCTGATCAGAGCTGCCCCATTCAGGCTGTAACTGGACACCTGGATCTGGAGCTCTAGAGGGAGGCCTGGGTTAGATGTCACTGAAGCCTCAGGGAGGTGGCATGACAAGGGACAGTGGGTCGGAGACTACGCTGGTCCAATCCGCTGAGGTTCCTCGCTCTCCCTCCAGGTGGCACTACAGCCCTGCAATTCTGAGGCCCGCTTTCTGAGCCACGCGTTCTCCACACTCCGCGCGCTCCGCGTCTCCGTCTCGGGACAGCCGACCCTAGATCGCGCCCTCGCTACTGGGCAGGATTCAGCTGAGAATCCAAACCCCGAGCGGCCTCCGGAGAGCGTGTCGTCCACGCGGCCAGCACGTGGTGGCAGCTCAGGAACCTCAGGGCTGGCAGTGCGGTCGGCGTGACCAACTGTCCCTCGGGCCGCCTCCAGGCACCAACGTGGGAAATGTGTGTAAGGGGACGACCGGATAGGCGGCGCCTGGAGCGGGGATAGACACTGAAAGACAGGACCTGGGAGCCCAGCCACCCGACCCTCTATGAACGGCATTTCCTGGCCACCAAGGCCACCCCCGCGTGGGAAGCGTGTCATGGACCCTTTAAGGCTCCATATCCCTGTCCTCCCCCGCCCAGGACAGGCCGGGACACCCGGGACCTGACATTTGGCAGCTCCCAACGTGGGAGCTAAAAATAGCCGCTCCGGGTTACTTCGGGGCATTGCTCCTCACCCACCCCGCGCGCCGGCTCGCGCGGTCACTCACGTGGCTGGATTCCGCCCCCAGCCGGGGCCAAGAACACCTGGCCCATCCCCGCCTCTCGGACCCCACTGTCCAGTCGCGTGGCGCCAGACTTGAAGCCTCCGCGGCAGCCCGGTATCTCGGCTGGTGGGCGGAGTCCTGACACGTGGGTGGGTGGGGCCTTTTGTTCTTCGGATACTTTTCGCAAAACTTCCCAGCTCCAGGCTGGCGGGAACCGGAGGGGCGCGTGTCACCAGCCACGCTGAGGAGGCGTGGCCCCGCTGGTCACCCCCACCGAGTCGAGCCAAACTCTAAGCCCCAGTCTTAGAGAGGGGCGTGGCCTTCTGGGGTGTGCGGGCTCCTGGCCAATGGGTGCTGTGGAGGGCGTGGCCCTTGGGGGGCGGGGATGAGGTGGCGGGGGTTCCTTGCGTCTTTTCCCCCAGCCCGGCTGGGACAGATCCCCGGGCGCCCTGCTGCTTTGTGCCTCCTTGGCTTGTGGCTGTGAGTCCTACCAGGCCTGCCCTCTGCTCGCCGCTCCGGGACCCCCGGGGCCCCCGCGGCCTCTGCCCGCCAGGCCTGGGCCACAGAGCCCCCAGTCGCCTCTCTCATCACCGCAGCCCCTGAGCCTCCAGCCCTTCTAAGACAAGATGCCGTCAGGCTTCCAGCAGATCGGCTCCGAAGTAAGGTTCATCCCGCAGGGGCGAGGCGGGGGCACGGGTCCCCGTTTTCCTGGGGTGGGGTCGTGGTGGGGGTCAGCTGGAGGCGGTCCCCGCGCAGGCGCAGGGGGTGGAGGTGAGGGGCTGGCTATTTATACCCCGCCTGGCCAACCCGTGACTGTCGGATTCCAGGCCTACCAGGACGCAGAGTGGGTCTGGGAGACCTTTCGGGGCACAACTTGGTTCTGCGAGTCCAGGGTTCGTCCCCTTGTCCAGTTGCGCCGGAATCGGGGACACCCTGCCCTCCATCCAACTTGGGAAAGCAGATCCAGGCGGGTCTTGCCCTCCAGGAGCTGTCTGTCTGTCCCAGCTCGCGGGCAGTGTTTCGAGGACTGGAGGCTCTGCGTGGGCCCCCACCCCCACTCCTGGACGCCCTCCAGGACGCTGAACTTTCCCTTGGCCCCATGGTTGGTGGAGGGGCAGAGGGGAGCGTCAGCCCCCCCCTACCCCAGCTCAGGTTTCCGCTTGGAGACAGTCTGTGCCGCCAGCGAGCGGCCACCACTGCCACCGCCCCTCACACCACCTTCCCGCCCTCCTCCCCTGGGCATAGCTCTCCTAGGCAGAACCCCTGCACGGTCCCCCCGTTGTTGTCGGTCTTAGAGGGGGATGGGAGGCTGCAGCAGAGATAGAAAAGGCCGCCCCGAGATGACTGTGGAATTGTACTTCTTGGGCCTGTTGGGAGCCTCCTGGAGCTAGGTGAGAAGAGAACCCCCAGAGGGCAGGGAAGAGGACAGTGGCTGATGATAATAATGCATTTGTTACTTTGTAAAACCAGCACTGTCAGGAATACTGTTAACATTTGGTTTTGGTTTTCACAACACTCTCAGGGACAGGTAGGCAAGGCAGGCAACATCACCTGCATTTCAGAGAAGAGGAACCCTAGGTTCAGAATGGGGAAGTGACTTGCCCAAGGTCACACAAATCTGAACTCTTAAGGCCAAGCCTGTCCCAAGGTCACAGAGGGATATTGAGATTTAAGTCCTCAAACATTTGTCTGCCTTGTGGACTCAAACGTCTAGTTTCTGCCCTGCCCTGCTGCTGTTGAGTTCTGTGTGCTCCTGTTTACATTGAGATCTTTGTGCGACTCCTAATATGGGCCAGTTTCCCTCACCCAACATGTTGGATGGAACCCAGTATCTCCAGGCTCCAGCTGGGCCTGGGCCCCTAGGGACAGGAAAGCATGGTTCCATATGACATGCCCCCTGTCTGCTCCTGCCTGTCCAGGATGGAGAACCCCCTCAGCAGCGGGTGACTGGGACCTTGGCCCTTGCTGTGTTCACTGCCGTGCTTGGCTCCTTGCAGTTTGGCTACAACATTGGGGTCATCAATGCCCCACAGAAGGTGAGGGGCCTATAGCTGGCGGAGTGGGGGTACCCAAAGAGGATGGGGGCTTCAGGTTTGGCAGAAAGGGAAGGGTGTGTAGGGAATCACTCCTGCACTGTACCCCCAGGTGATTGAACAGAGCTACAATGAGACGTGGCTGGGGAGGCAGGGGCCCGAGGGACCCAGCTCCATCCCGCCGGGCACCCTCACCACCCTCTGGGCTCTCTCCGTGGCCATCTTTTCTGTGGGCGGCATGATTTCCTCCTTCCTCATTGGCATCATCTCTCAGTGGCTTGGAAGGTTTGGAGCTGGAGGGCCAGGGAATGGGGAGGGAGCCATAGCATGGTACCCTAACCCTGACAGCCCCACTCTGCCTGCCCACCAGGAAAAGGGCCATGCTGGTCAACAATGTCTTGGCGGTGCTGGGGGGCACCCTCATGGGCCTGGCCAACGCTGCTGCTTCCTATGAGATGCTCATTCTGGGACGCTTCATCATTGGCGCCTACTCAGGTACCCACAGGCACCAGGCCCTGCCAAGTGCCCTGTTTTCTTTCACCCTGCTTGGGCTTTCGGATGGGAGTGGGCACCTGCCTTCAGCCCTCTTTTCTTCCCTCTGCCCAGGGCTGACGTCGGGGCTGGTGCCCATGTACGTGGGGGAGATCGCCCCCACTCACCTTCGGGGTGCTTTGGGGACGCTCAACCAACTGGCCATCGTCACTGGCATTCTGATCGCCCAGGTGACCAGGCCTGGCCTCATGGGGGCTGGGCAGGGGTTGAGGTGGACCTCTAGGGTAAGGCAGCAGGGCCTTACCTCCTTCCTAACCTTCTTCTGCAGGTGCTAGGCTTGGATTCCCTGCTGGGCACTGCTGCCCTATGGCCACTGCTCCTGGGCCTCACGGTGCTACCCGCCCTCCTGCAGCTGGCCCTGCTGCCCTTCTGCCCCGAGAGCCCCCGCTACCTCTACATCATCAGGAACCTGGAGGGGCCTGCCAGAAAGAGTGAGCTCTCACCCTGCAGTCTAGCCCGGCCCATGCCTCCACCCCGTCTTGCTAGCACCTAGGCCTGACCCCTCAGGCCTGACCTCCCACCCCCAGGTCTGAAGCGCCTCACAGGCTGGGCCGATGTGTCTGGAGCTCTGGCTGAGCTGAAGGATGAGAAGCGGAAGCTGGAGCGTGAGCGGCCACTGTCCCTACCCCAGCTCCTGGGCAGCCGTACCCACCGGCAACCCCTGATCATTGCAGTTGTGCTGCAACTGAGCCAGCAGCTCTCTGGCATCAATGCTGTATGTATGGGCAGCCTCTAGGCAGGGCCCGGGGCAGGCAATAGCCCAAGGGGCTGGGAGAAGGGAGCAAGCCCCCTCCATTAAAACTCAAGGTCCAGCTTGTTGTGGCTGGAGTGAAGGAAGGGACATCCTTGCCATCACCTTTTCTTCTCCCCCACCTGTAGGTTTTCTATTATTCGACCAGCATCTTTGAGACGGCAGGGGTAGGCCAGCCAGCCTATGCCACCATAGGAGCTGGTGTGGTCAACACAGTCTTCACCTTGGTCTCGGTAACTGCTCACCTCTGGAATGGCCCACGCCACTGGCTTCACATCCCTGGGTGTCCCAGAGATCCCACTCTCGGTTGCCCTCCCCACCCACACCCTCCCACTGTCTGTGTCCTGAAGACCCCCTGCCAAGCTCTGACTCTTCCACAGGTGTTCTTGGTGGAGCGGGCGGGGCGCCGGACGCTCCATCTCCTGGGCCTGGCGGGCATGTGTGGCTGTGCCATCTTGATGACTGTGGCTCTGCTCCTGCTGGTGAGGCCTGAGGGGCTGGGAGGGGGCCAGCAGCCCAGCCCATGGGAACAGCCCCAAAGGGCTCTGTGGCCAGCCAGGGCCACTCCTTAACATACACACCTTTAATCCTGGGGCCAGCTCTGTGCCAGGACTGTGGGCAGTTGGCTCCAGAGTCTGCTGGGACTGTGGTCTGTGCTCTGAAGGGCCCAGGCTGCACTGAGGCCCGCTGTGGGGGAGGAGGATATGGCCTCCTCTGGCAGCCAGGAGGGAGAGCCCCTGTCAAGCCTCAGGAACAATAATTTCTGATGACCCACCTTTAGAGCCAAGGAGGAATCAGGCGTCATAAGAGCTGAGAGGCCATGACGTTTCCTCTGCCTTGAATCTGCTTGAGGTAGCCGGCAGAACATCAGTGCTCAGAAATGCTCACGGGCCTGTTCCAACCCAGGGTGCAGCCCCTCACAAGCTGCCGGGAGGGGTAGATCTCAGTTCCCTCCAGGTTGAGGGCAAGGGAAGATCCAGAAAGGCCTGAATTTGATTCTCTACCCTTCCTACTGGCCGTAGGAGCGGGTTCCAGCCATGAGCTATGTCTCCATCGTGGCCATCTTTGGCTTTGTGGCATTCTTTGAGATTGGCCCTGGCCCCATCCCCTGGTTCATCGTGGCCGAGCTCTTCAGCCAGGGACCCCGCCCAGCAGCCATGGCTGTGGCTGGTTTCTCCAACTGGACATGCAACTTCATCATTGGCATGGGTTTCCAGTATGTCGCGGTAGGTCCCCACCTGCCCCAGGCTCCTCTCTCACACTGTAGGCAGAGGGGCCGGCTCACAGCCAGCCCACTGCTTTCCAGTCAGGCACTCCCCAGCCGCTGGCCACCGGTCTTTGGGTTACTTTGGTGAAGCCCCTGCTCCACCAGAATCAGAGGAAAGAAGGGGGCAGACCTAGATCAGATAGTGACTGTTGTCTTCAAAACAAACCAGTGGCATAACCTAACTTCGACCAGGAATAACATTATAGACTTTCGTACTACAAACGGCTGGGAATCTCCCGAGTGCCGTAACTCAGGATGGGGAAGAGGACAGAGGACCAAAGGAGAGTTGGGGTTCAGAGAATCCTTTTTTCAGGGTAACTTCTCATTCCCGGTGATTTCCCTTGTCCCTCAAGAGAGCCAGCTACTTTCTGCGGTAGCCTCAGCCCCCTGTGAGAGCCTTTAGTTCCTGGTTTGCCTGAAGTCGCCCCTTCCTTCCCCACCCCACGCTGTCAACACCTCTTTCTCCACCTGCCCCAGGATGCCATGGGTCCCTACGTCTTCCTCCTGTTTGCGGGCCTCCTCCTCGGCTTCTTCATCTTCACCTTCCTAAGAGTACCTGAAACCCGCGGCCGCACGTTTGACCAGATCTCAGCCACCTTCCGCCGGACACCCTCTCTTTTAGAGCAGGAAGTGAAACCCAGCACAGAACTTGAGTACTTAGGGCCAGATGAGAACGACTGAGGGGGCAAGGCGGGTGTGGGAGAGCCAGCTTTCTCTACCCCCCCAGAGAGACCCCTTCCTTTCCTCTGCAGCACTTTAACCCTCTCTTCCCCGTCACTGCCAGGGTGGAGAAAACCCCTGCAGCCTGGTAGAATTGGGAAGTGGGAGGGAAGGGTGGTCTGAGCACCCCCTCGCTCCCCTCGTGTGACTCTTGGATATTTATGTGTTGTGGTTACGCTGTGGCCATCAGGGTGGGCCATTGTCCCCTTCCCCACCCTTCCCACGTAGTCCAGCCCTTTCCTCCCCACCCCCACCCAGACTGCACTCCAGAATAAGTTCTTTCCCTGCTAGAGAAGAGGGATTGGAGGGAGGAGAGGCCAGACTGACTTTTTCAGTGGGACAAACTGAGGCAGAGAGCAGGACGTGACTTTCTCACCACCTTGGACTCCTCCCACGACCTGGGACTTCACTGAATTCTTGCCACATGGACTCTGGGCGAATGGGATTCTGTCTTGTCCCCTCCTGTGCAAAGGACTCAACCTCTGTCACTGCAGGCTCAGCCTTCCAGGGCAAGAGGGAACAGGAAAAGTATGTGCCCATGTATGGTAAGAGGAAGGGACAGCAAAATCCCACCTCTAAACTTAGGGCTGGGGGCCCTACTCCGATTGTCCCCCAAGGCTGCCAAGCAGGGACGGACTCCAGCTCTTTCTTCCTCTCCCTGCCTGCAGGGGTGCTATCCCCACAGGCTTTTGACCAACTAAGGGAAAGAGGGGAATTCAAAGGCTGCCTGTCAACAATGGGCTGGGAGGAGCCTTCAGATATTTTTGTATATGTGAAAAAGAGGTAGAAAAAAGAAACCAAAGGTCTGTTGTAGTAATGTGTACATATAGATACATCTATAAAGTTACTGTTTGAAGATGAGCATCCTGTTGTGGAGGCTACTCAAGGATGGGCTGAAACAGGGACCATAACTTCCCCTCCTCCCTCTTCCTCTCTCTCCATCCTGCCTCAGCTCAAGGACTCAGAATCCTCTGGATGCAGTTACTCATGCCTCTACTTACATTTCTATGAGTGGCTTTATTAGTAGTGAATGCTCAATAAATTGTAGCTGCAAGTGCTGGGCACTGCTCTTGGCACTCTGCAAAACACTCACTCTGCAAGGGAGGTGTCTGCCCATTTTACAGATGGGGCAGCAAATCTCACAGGTGAAGGCGCTTGACAGAGCTATCCAGCTAAAAACACTGGAGTAAGGGTTCAAGACCAGGCCCTGCCCATGGCCCCAAATCCCCCTCACCACTGTGGCTCAACAGTGAGTTACCAGTAATTCTCAAGACAGAAAAGAGGCAGAGACCAGACAACAGGAAAGCCTGTTTTTGTTTTTACTGGAGGCTCAGGTGGCACATGACAGTTCATAAAATGGCTTCAGAGGTAGGTGGAAGGGAAACAAAAAATAAACTGGGGTGGGAAAGAAAAACAACCAGGAGGAGGTAAGAGCTGGCTGGTTCCTTCTCAGCCTGATCTAGGGGAGGGAGCTGGTGCCTCTGAACAAGAAGGATGGATCCCTTCCTTCAACCCTTGACAGGAAGTGGAAAAAAAAAGAAAAGCAAAAGGCTGTTGCTTTGGCCCTCCTGAGTCTCAAGGAAAAGGGGTAAAGCCGGTGTTCTGATGTCATGAATTATGGGAAAGGGGGGAGGGGGTGCTGGGTAGGGTACAGGTCAGTTGGAAAAACTGGCAGATACCTGAAAGAAAGAAAAATGCAGGAGCCATAAATAAGAGCAATTTATCACAACCCAGTCCCCTGTGCCTCTTGGCCACCCACCCCGAGTAGAGCAGCCACTCACCAGATGGTAGCTCTGGGTGTCCTTTGAGTTGGAATCACTCCAGTATGGTGGTGGGGGGGTCCCCACTGTTGATGGGGGCTGAGGTCTAGAGAACAGCGGTGGCCAACTGAGATTCTCTTGTTCTTTAGGGTCCCCAACTTCAACCTTCTCCCACCATCTCTGTCTCCCTTCCCCTCCCCCCCAACCAGTTCCCCAATTCACATCCACATGCCGGTACTGTGGCCCCAGGCGGAGCTGAGCGGGAGTCTGCAGGGGTGACATGGGCTAGATCACCTCTGCTGGGGCTTCCTGGAGGGTACAGGGCCAGAGGACCCGGGAGCAAAGGGGTAGAGTAAGAAGGGAAGGGGAAAAGAAAAGGACATAAAGAAGGGAGGGGAAGGAGAGGGAGGGGGAGTTGGTCCCAGCCTTTTCATTCATCCAACAGCAGATTAGGCATCCCAGGGTCCTCACCTCCGGGACTGTGGGCTGCCGGGGGCCAGGGGGCTGCTGCCGTCGCCTCTGGAAGTAAGGACGGTTTCGTGGGCGCTGGGGCTCAGGCCGGGAACCATCAGTAGGGCCTTGGCTGGGCTTGGTCTCGCCATCCCCACCTTCTGTGGTTGGCTGCTGGGGTGGCCTGGGGCGGAAAGGCCTAAGGAGAGAGACAGGGGCCCTGAAGGGACCATGAGACCAGGGTAGACCACCTTCCTCCCAGGTCTCCCCAGCTACCCCACTCCCACCTCCAGGAGCCAGGCTTCCAGCCCCCGACCACCCACTTCCCTCTAGGCACCTCTCGCCAGGGGCTTCAGGCTCTTCCCTTTCTGTCCTCTGGCCCCTTCCCTCCTCAACACTGGCTGGGGGGGGGGGGGAAGGACAGAGCCCCAAAAAGAGAGTCTTACCTTCGGTACCTGGGCCGGAATCTGGGTGGGGGGACCCGTTCATCTCCCTGTTGGTCCCCCTCCAGTGGGGCTGTCTCTTTGGGTTCTACCCCATCAGTGCCCTAGAAACATAAAGGCCCAGGTGAGCTGTGGGGACACCAGCCGCCCTGGGACCAGGCTATGCACAGCTTTCCCACCTCCTTTGGGGACCCTGTGGCCTTTGTCCTTGCCAATTCCCGGAAGTTGGGTAACTGGCTTCCCCTCACCTCTACAGACTGCTGCTGGTTGGGGGGCCGAGGGCCTCGCACAAACCGCCTCCGGTAGAAGAAGGGTGGTGGGCGCCGTCGTCTGGGTCGCTGCCCAGAGTCTTCAGCCCGCTCCCCTTCGCTCCCAGGTTCTGCCCCCCCTGAGGGAGCCTCTGCCACCATGGGTGGTGGGGCAGCTGGGCGAGGCCGGGGGATGAATCGGCGGAACCTGCGTCGGTTGGGGGCATAGCGGCTGCCCTTCACTGGCACCCCCCCGGGCCCCGTTACGTTGGCAGCTTCTGCGCCCTGGGAGGGTGGAACGGGAATAGTCAGAACCTGCTCCAAACGCACGACACTCCCTAGCTTGACTCCTTTGTGTCTTCTCCTTCTAGGGGAAGTCTCCTCTCCAGCTTTCCTTTAGCTCCTCTAACTTCTACTTCTTTCTACCCTCCCAAGGGCCAATGCGGTGTTTGCACCCATCTGGGAAGGAGCAACTTGTCCTTTTAAAAGAACTGCTACTGTAGCCTCCCAAGTATAAGGCTGGGGGAAGGGCAAGGGTGGAGGAAGGCCTGGCAGCAGGCATGACTCTGAGAAGGGTCCTTCAGGGACAGGGGCCCACGTGGAGAACAGACGCAGAAGTGCCTGGAGAACTACAGAGATGAAATCCAGACACTACAGACTGATGACAGGGACATATTCTTTAGATCATCCCTTGGAGTAGCTGTAACCTTAAAGACGACAACCTCTGGCTGAGAGAACACAGTCCCATTCCCACAGCCGAGGCAGAGCCGGCCCCAGGAGGGTTGAAGCCTGCAATGACTCAGTACCCCACAACAGCCCCCAAACCTTCTCTCCTTCCACGACATCAAACTCCACAGTCTCCCCGTCTCCAACACTGCGCAGAAACTTCCTGGGGTTGTTTCTTTTAATAGCTGTCTGAATGGGGGAAAGGCCGTGAGAAAGGGTTGTCAACAAGACAGGAGTCTCTCTCGCCCCGGCTGGGTCCACCACCCAATTTCATTCTTTGCAACTTTTTATCTGGGGTCTGGGGCTGGAAGGTGGAGCAAGGAGAGGGTGGTCAAAGTTTAGTAGGGGAAAAGTCATCAACTAGGGGCCTCAGGGACTGTGCAGTTACCACTGTCCCCGGGACACACTCCCTTCCCCCTTTACCCCTCAGGGATTTCAAAAAGGGAGGCAAGAACTGTGAACTTAAAGGCAAAACAAATAGCAGAGAGTCTTAAGTCGCAAAGTGGGTAAAACGTACTGTGCTTCTTACCTCAATCCCACTGAGAGCTCTTTCCACCAAAGCAGTGGTTCTCAAACTGCAGCATGCATCAAAATCACCTGGAGAGCTTGTTAAAACAGATTGCTGGGCCCCAGCCCCACATCTGATTGATTCAGTAGGTCTGTGGTGGGGCCTGAGAATTTGGATGTCAGGTGATGCTGCTGCCGGCGCAGGGACCACACTTTGAGAACCACTGCACCCAAGTATCTTTTCCCTCTGAAAAGTGCCTGAGTCCTTCCTGAAGTGTCAACAGGTCCCAGAAGGCAGTGAGCATGCCAAGCCCAGAGGGCAAAACACGCACAACTCTGACAGCCGTTCAATAACCCAACACAAGTGGGGCTAAGGGTGGCTGATACAGGCACTGAGCAGGTGGGAGGGGAGGTATTTCCTGGTTGGGCAGGCCACGGTGAAGGAAAAGCCGGAGAAACACAACTGACCATGCTGCCAAGGATCATGGCAAAGGCCTTCAAAGAGAGGGCTCGTTCTTCCCCCCAGAAAGCCAGCCTAGCTCTTACCTGGTGAACAAAGACATCCTCCTTGGTGTCATTCCTGCAGAACAGGATGGTTTGTTAAGGGGGTGACTTTGGTAAAGTGCTCAGCTCCTCTGAGGCCCCTGCTAAATGTCCATTCCTAAGGTTGGTGGCCTGTCTGCTCCCGCTTCCACAGTTAGGGGTGGACAAGTGCACCTAAAACCCTAGTGTGAACCTGGACTTCAGGAGGAAAGGGCGGAGGAGAAGGCAAAGGCACCTTGAAGGAATTGAGTCTCCACCTTCTACCCCAGAGGCACCTTAGAACCTGCCGGTGCTGGATGTAGCCATCCCGGCCAACACCCCTCCTCCTTCAACCCCATCAGGTTTGGAAAATTCCACTGTCTCCTTCCTTCTCTACATGCAAGGAGTGAGGGAGTGGGGATGTGGCCAGAGATGCAGAACAAGTTTGGGAAGGGGACATGTCAAGAACTTGCTCTAAACAGCCACCAGGACCTTATTCACACCCTCAGCCTAAAGATATCTCCCCAGTTAGGCCCTCTCAACACACATAGCGACCAAGGGTGAGAGAGAAGAAAAGCCCACCCATTCTCTATCACTACCTTGCCTAGTACCCTGGTTTATCCTAGAACTCCAGTGGGTGTGCAGGAGAGGCAAGGGAGGAGTTTTCCTGGAGGGATTCCCTGCAGGAGTCCACCGTTTCCAGAATTAGACAGGGACCCCTTCCCCAGAACAAATGTTCTAGTTCTAAAGCACTTGGATCTGCACAAAGGTCAGCCTGCTAAGAGGGAAGTAGGGCCTCCCAGGAGGGCTGGGCTGGGCAGGGTGCCCGGGCTGGGGAAGGGCCCACTGGGGGAGACCTGGCTCTGCTCAGAATACACCACTGCAACCTCTCCCCACGCCTGGAGGGTGGGGCCACCAACTGAAGAAAAGCAGCAGCCTCTGGCTAGGCTAGCTCCTTCCTCCCTCCCCCACTGCCACTCTCAGTCCCAACAGGTGGGAGGATTCAGATGAGCCACAGCTCTTTCAGGAAGATGAGTGGTGAGGGTGCCATGAGTGCTGCCCATTACAAGAAATCGATTCTAGCCAGGAGCCCTGAGAAGCAGATAACCCTATACATTCTGCCCCAAAGGCATGACAAACTGAAAATAATAAGGCAATTCCAGGTGAGACAGAGAAGCCGGGAGAGTCAAAGCCAGGTTTGCCAAGTTCCTGGATGGGTAATCCTCTGCTGCCCTTGAAGATGTGAAGGCGGCTTCATCTTGCCACTAAGGACACATTTGCTGTGGGGTTAAAGACTTTCAACCAGCACCAGCTGGACATTGCAACCATGTGCCTTGGCAGGGGTAGAGATTAGGATGGGAAGCTGTCCAATCCCACAGGCAAGTTTGGAAGGTACCCATTCCATTCCCTCCCTGGGTTCCTTGGATACCTGTTGATGAATCCGTAACCATTCCGGACGTTGAACCATTTGACAGTGCCCAGTACTTGGATTGCTGCCATGCAGAGATGCAGTGGGGACAGTAAGATGAGGGGGGAAGAGATGGAGTTGGACTCAGTTTTGACACACTCCAAAAACTAACCTACTTCCTTACTACCTGTTAAGCTTACCTTCAAGCCAACCAGGTTTCACTAGTAGCTTCAAGGTATTCTTACCCCAGTTCCACCAAATGGAATCACCCACACAGGGACTCAGGCTTTCAAAACCCTTCCAACTCTAAGGCATGTTCCTCACATCCTACAAATCCAGGCCCTTCACCCAAAACTGGGTACTCAGCTGGTCCACAAAGTGCTGCCCTCAGGCCATAGCTGAGGGCTTCTCTAGCCCTCCCAGCCTAAGGGTCCCCAGTGCACCTGCTTCAGAGGTTTACCTAGTACTAATCCCAACTAGGCCAAGTGTGCCGCCCCGGGGGCGTGGCCGGACCCTGAGGCTTCATTCTCCACCCCAAGGCCCTAGCTGAACCTGAAGCCCCGCCCTCCCCCCCAGGAAGGCACTGGCAGGATTTCCCACCAGGGGAATCCACTTTGGTCCGCAGCTCTCAGCCCAGTTAGTGCTTTGGGCCTCTGGGCCAGGCCGCCTTTGGCTTCCCAGATCCTGCCAGGCTCCACGCTGCCCCTCCCCCAGCCCGCCGACCCCTTAGAGCCGCCCTGGCACGCGCCCCCCCTCACCCAGCACCGGCTTGTCCGCCTGACTCCGGGCCGGGGGCGCGGGGGTCCCCGAGGCTGCCGTCGCCGGGTTGCCAGGGTTGCGGGGGCCCGGCACCGAGGGGGTCCCAGCAGCGGGGCCTGAGGCGGCTCCGCCCCCGCCGCCGCCCGCCCCGCCGCCTGGTTTCTGCGGCTCCCCTGCGGGCACCGGTACTACCACCGCTACCACCCCTGCCGCCGTCGCGGGCACCGTCGCCGCGGGGGCCGCTGTCGCCACCGCTGCCACCTCCGCCTCGCTCATCCCGCCGGGTCCAGTACCGGCCCCCGCCGCCACCTCCTCCTCCGCCGCCGCCGCCGCCACCGCCCCGGCCCCTCCCCCCGGCTCGCGAACCCGCCGCCCCGCTCGGTCCTCGCGCCCCGAGCCTCGCCCGCACACCGGCAGCGAGCCCGCAGCCGAGGCCAATCGCAGCCCGCTGTCGCGGCGCGCGCAGACCCCGCCTCCCGGCCACAGGCCAATCCTAGCCGAGCAGTGCCCCAGCCCGCACGCCGACCCCGCCTCCCGGACTTGGCACGGAGGCCCAGGCCCCCGCCCGCCGCCCCGTAAGTACACCTGGGCCCCGCCCCCGGGACGCCACGTGACTGCGCTCAGCGCAACCCATTGGTCGACGGACCCTTTCCCCTCCCCCCTCCGCCCCTTTTCACCGGCCGCGGGAAATCAAACGGGCTGGTGGCGCCCCAACCGCCACCTGGCCTCTGCGCGGAGGGCGGGGCCCGGGACGCAGCGCCCAGGTTGCTCCTGACTACCCCGGTGGGGGCGGGAGTCGGCAGCCTCGGTTCCGGCCGTAGGCGCGCCGCTCACCTCTGCCCTCGAGGCCGACCTCGCGCGTTCACTGCCGGGTGTAGACGCCTTCTCCCGCCACGGACAACTCGTACCGTCGCCCTACGCGATGCCCCGGCACACGCGCGGGGCCGGCTGGAAGGCGCGGCGGAACGACGTTCCCAGCTCATAGCTTTTATTATGTTTGCTCTGGAAACAAAGTTTGCACTCGGCACGGTGCACCGCTTCCCCGCGAGTTTTGATAAATGTGTCTGTCCACGTGGCCAGCGCCCTAATCAAGCTATTTAATACCCCTGCTCCGGGAAGGTCCCGGAGCTTTCAGGCAACCCCAGCCTCCCCACAGAGCACCGCGGTTCTGCGGTCTGCCACCCTGGACCAGCGCCAGAGCCCCCGCGAGTGCATCCGGGCCCTGTGGCCTCGGCCAGGTGCCGGGCTGCGGCCGACCCGAGGCCTCTGCACCGCAGTTCCCTCCGTCCCGAATGCGCCCTTGTGTCTTCAAGTACCAGCCTGCATATCACTCCTCTCCGCCACACCATGCCTTGTTTTTCTCGTGGCATTTTTGAAAATAGGAAATGACCCTGACCATTTGCTTATTTATACTGTTTACACCACACACACGCGCACACGCACACGCGCTAGGCTGTAAACGCCACCGCAGGAGTAGTTGTGTCTGCCTCCCAGAGCAGTGGCTGGCACAACGCAGACGCTCAGAATTAATACATTGAGTAAATGAATGGTCCCCATTACACAGATTAGAAGACCGAGGCGAGGTCCGAGGCTTGTCCCAGCTTTCTCCGGAGCCCAGACGTCCAGCCCGGGAGGAGCAATGTCCCTCCCAGAATAATGAGGCTCCAGCAGTCTCCACTCCAGAGGGCCGCTTCCCCCCCCCCCGGGAAGACGGGGGTGGCGCTGGACAGCGCGTATTTTTAGCCAAGACAGCGCGCCCCAGACAGCACACGTGCCCCAGGCGCCGCTCGGCCCTCCCCACGAGCGCTTAGCTTACCCAGGGCTAGTGTCCCCGCCGAGCCCCGCGTCCTCGCCGCAGCCGGCGGCCGCGGCGCCGCCTCTCCCGGTCCCGGCGCGCCCTCTGCCGGCCGCTGCCGGGGGCTGCCCAGTCCCGCTTGGTCGCAGAGCCTCCACCAGCCACCCCACCCTGCGGCCCTTTCAGAGTTAAGGATTCTGATTTCCAGGGCATCGGTCACAAGGACAGAAAAAGAGAAAAGACGAAGCCGTGAAGGATACAGAAACCACCACCACCACCCTTAGACTGTTAAGGACCCAGTTACCTGTGCCTGGCCCCGAGCTCGAGGATCGCAGGAAGAGACGGAGGCTGGGCAAAGGCAAGCAGGGGTTCCTCAGCCTGAGACCGCGCAGCCAAACATTCAGTCCTGCCGCAGGTACCGAGGGAGCTCAGGTGTGGGCTAGTTAACCATATGTTAGAGGATGAGACAACAGGAAGCTCAAAGGAAGGGAGGATAAGCCCGTTTTTGTAGTAAGATTAAGAAAATGGGCCGGCGTGGTGTTCACGCCTGTAATCCTAGCACTCTGGGAGGCTGAGGCTGGAGGTCAGAAGTTTGAGACCAGCCTGAGCAAGAGTGAGACCCCTCGTCTCTACTAAAAATAGAAAGAAATTATCTGGACAGCTAAAAATATATAGAAAAAATTAGCCGGGCATGGTGGCGCATGCCTGTAGTCCCAGCTACTCGGGAGGCTGAGGCAGGAGGATCGCTCGAGCCCAGGAGTTTGAGGTTGCTGTGAGCTAGGCTGACGCCACGGCACTCTTGCCCTGGCAACAGAGTGAGACTCTGTCTCAAAAAAAAAAAAAAAAGGAAGGAAGGAAATGTCAGGGGGTGGGGCATTTCAAGGAAAAGTACCCCTGCAGACCATAGGAACATGAAACCACACCTGTACACAACAGCCACACTCTCTGTCCCCAGGAGGAGAATTAGCAGAAGCCACAGAGAGATGCAGTTAATTGCCCTCCCTGTTTAGATGTAGGGTTTGTTCATGGAATTTTATAGTTATTTAGATATTTTAAGTACTATAGATGACAAGGACTCTAGGCATCCTAGTGAAAAGGTTTCCTTCTTTTTCTGTCACTTCCTTTCTGTCCTTTCCATTTGCTCCTTCCCACCTGAAGTGGTCTCTCAACTATCTTGTCCACTATTTTAAAAACAAACAAAACCTGCCTTCTTAACATGCCCTACACATCTCCATTATTTGAACACCAAACTTCCAGAAAGCAGTCCTTGCTGCCTCTACTTCCTCAACTTCCTTTCACATCCACCCCAAATCTGGCTTCTGCCCCCACCACTCCACTGAAACCGCTTCAGCAGTGGCCTTCTGCCCCCTGCTTGATTGAGCCGTGCGGTGGATGGCTTTGGTTCTCCTTTGACTCCAGCAAGTGAAGTGTCCCTGCCACAGCTGCCGCAACCCAGCCTTCCTCTGTCTACCCCTCATCCTCGACTTTGCGTCTTGTTCTCCTCCACCAACCCCAATATTTCCCAGGCCATTTCTCCTGCCACATGCCTTCTGGTAGGTCATTTTATCCTTTCCCCTGGCTTCAGTGGCCACTTTTTTTTTTTTTTTTTTTTTGAGACAGAGTCTCACTTTGTTGCCCAGGCTAGAGTGAGTGCCGTGGTGTCAGCCTAGCTCACAGCAACCTCAAACTCCTGGGCTCAAGCGATCCTGCTGCCTCAGCCTCCCAAGTAGCTGGGACTACAGGCATGCACCACCATGCCCAGCTAATTTTTTGTATATATATTAGTTGGCCAATTAATTTCTTTCTCTTTATAGTAGAGACGGGGTCTCGCCCTTGCTCAGGTTGGTTTCAAACTCCTGAACTCAAACGATCCGCCCGCCTCGGCCTCCCAGAGAGCTAGGATTACAGGCGTGAGCCACCTCGCCCGGCCAGTAGCCACTTTCTGATGGCTCTCAAACCTGTGTCTCCAGCCGCCAGTCCCTCCCGCCTTCTACCAGACTCCAAGTCAAGTCTTCTCTAGCCAATTGCTCCTCAGGCTTTGCAACCTTGACAAGCCCAAATCTAAGCTCCTCTCCCCCTCCCCCATCCTCATCCTCCCTCTTCACTGAGTTATGTCCCCACCACTTACCCACAGTCATCCTGTAGTACCTATTCCTCCTTTCTCTGCCTGGATGCCCAGGCTTAGCCCAGCCAAGGTGAAGATTTGCGGTATCAAATTGAGATAAAATTTGAAAGACTGAAAAGATGGTGTCACCTTTGTCCCCTAGTATCATAAACTCTCAGCAACTTTTCCCTCCAACTTTCTTGTTGCAACCCAAACCAGAGTTTGCCTCTTCCTTCTTCTAACACCTGCTCTCTTGTTTCTCAACTGCCACAGAGTGTCCATGCCTACAGCCTCTGTCTTCTCTCCCATGACTCCCTAGCTGTTCTCATCACTGTCCTTCCTTTCTCCAGGCTCTGCTAGCACTCTGACACACCCTTCAGCTTTCTGCACCCTCTATTTTCTTGTCTCATCTGTTATAATTACTTACCATATCCTTCTAGAAACCTTCTTGTCATTTTCTTTTTATCTAGTAGTAACAGAAAGAATTAACATTTCCTGAGCATTCACTATGTGCTACACACTGTGCTAAGCACTTTATATACAGTAGGTCATTTAGTCCCTACAACAATCTGGGAGGTGGATACTATGAAAATCATCCCCATTTTACAGATAAGCAAACTGAGGTATAGTGAAGTTAAACAAGTGGTCTAACACAGCTGGGAACAACCAAGCTGGGATTCAAATGCAGATCAATCTACCTTCAGAGTCCACAGTCTAAACCACCAGTCTCCTTCCACTATGCTGGGACTACCATGGTCCCCTCTTATCCACAGTTTCATTTTTTCAAGGTTTCCATTACCCACAGTCAACTACAGTCTGAAGATATTACATACAATCAGATATTTGGGGAGAGAGAGAAACCACCTTCACATGACTTTTATTACAGTATATTGTTATAATTGTTCTGTTATCAGTTATTGTTGTTAATATCTTACTGTGCCTAATCTATAAATTAAACTTTATCATAAATATGTATGTATAGGAAAAAGCATAATATATATAGGGTTTGGTACTGTCTGCTGTTTCAGGTATCCACAGGGGTCTTGGGACATATTTCCTGAGGATAAAGGAGGTCTACTGTACATTTTTCACCTTCCTCAACAATCCCTAGAGCCCACATTCCCTCTAGATCTTTCTGTATGTCAGACTTTGGGTTCTAAACTAAATGTCTTGAAAGCCTGTGTGCTTTACCGAGACTGCTGCTTTCGTTGGCCCCCAGCATTCAGGGAAGTCTCTGACATCTGCCATGTTACCTCTAGTTCAATGGACACGTTTTTGCCCTTATTCCTCCACCCCCGTCTATGTGGCAGATGCAGCTGGAGACCATTTCCATCTCAGACTCCCCAGTCTTTTACGTGCACCCCCTAACAGCCAGAGTCCCCAGTTGTATTCTTCTAACTCCACCCCCCCCCCTCTCGGGCACTTCCTCCACTTCTACTGCCTCAGATATGACCTGTTGTCAGATTGAATTTTGTCCCCCAAAAAAGTATATTAAAGTCTTAACCACTGGAACGTGCGACTGCGACCTTATTTGGAAATAATGGCTTTGCAGATGTAATCAAGTTAAGATGAGGTTGTTGGGATGGGCCTAATCCAATACGACTGGGGTCCTTATAAGAGGAAACCTGCACGCAGGGAGAACTCCATGAGACAAGGTGGAAGCTGGGAGTGCCTGGGGCCACCGAAGCTGGAAGTGGCAAGGAAGGAGCCTCCTCTAGAGGTTATGGAGGGAGAATAGCCCTGCCAACATCTTCATTTCACACTCTTATCCTCCAGAACTGGGAGACACTAAAATTTCTGTTATTTTAAGCACCACGTTTGTGGTACTTAGTTATGGAAGCCCTAGGAAACCAATACATGAGCCAAGTACAGATGATTCCCCAGTATTTCTCCAGCCCAGTTGCTCGCTTCTTGAGCTTCAGACCCATGATGGCCAACTGCCAGCTGAAAATCTTCAAGGTCCCCCATCTTGGTAAAGGGCACTGCCATGTCAGTGCCATATCCATGGATTCAGAGACCCATGAATCTTCTTTGACACCTGCCTGTCCTCCCTCACCTTCTGTGTCTGATTGTCTCTTGGTCCTGTTAGTTCTACATTCTCACCTCTGCTTATTTCTTCCATCCCCACTGCCCCACCTGGGCCACACCATAAGAACCACTGTGATAGCCTCTTGCCTACTTGGATTCCTGCCTCCATCAGTACCCCCTCCAATCCATTTTCTGTGAGTTACCTCACAAGGCATTCTGCCTTACCACCCTGCTTTATTTTCACCATAGTATTTATCAGTATTTGCCTGGTATTTTCTTGTTTATAATTTGTAAACTTTTAATCTTGTCTATCTTGTTCATTGCTGTATTCTCATCGCCTAAAACTGTACCTGGCACTTAGTAATTGACCAATAAATATGTGGCTGAATGAATGAAGGCAGCCAGAAAGGTCTGTAAAATGGATTTTTTTTTTTAGGCACTACTTAGGCACATTGAATATACACATTTCCTGTGATCCAGCAATTGATCTTCTGGGCACATGACCCAGAGAGATTTTTTACAGAGACATGCATGAGAATGAAGGTGGGAAGTTGGAGGCAACGTGGGCATACATCACTGGGAGGGTGACAGGTAAAATGTGATGGATGTACACTGTGGAGTATTATGCAGCAACCAGAAGTGACAGGTTAGGCGTACTTACGGCAACATGGATGGATCTAGAAAACAGTGCTTAGAGAAAAAGGGTAAGAAACAGAATGAGATATATATAACCATACCACTTATGTGAAAAGACACATTCCCACAATCAATAAGCCACATCTCATCAGAGTATAAAAATAAGGCCAGGTGCAGTGGCTCATGCCTGTAACCTCAGAGCTTGGAGTCTGAGGCAGGAGGATCACTTGAAGCCAGGAATTTAAGACTAGACTGGGCAACATGGTGAGACCCTGTCTCTACAAAAAAATTAAAAATTAGCCAGATGTGGTGGTGCATATCTGTAGTCCCAGCTACTCAGGAGGCTGAGGTGGGAGGATTGCTTGAGCCCAGAAGTTTGAGGCTGCAGTGAGCTATGATTGCACCACTATACTCCAGCCTGGGTGATAGAGCAAGAAAGACTCTGTCTCAAAAAAAAAAAAAAAAAAAAAAAAAAAAAAAACTTAAAAATAAGAATAAAAAACCAAAAAGATATATAACATCATAATTGTTGGCAGAGGGGAAAAGATGAAAATAGCAAAATGGCAAGAGGGGTTAAAAAAGAAAACAATAGCGTCCGCGTGATGGGGGTTCCCGCCTGTAACTCACTAGCATCTCGGGAGCGCTGACGGTGGGAGGATCCACTCAAAACGGTCAGTGGCAGTTCAAGACCAGCCTGTGCAACAGTGAGACCCTGTCTCCACTAAAAATAGAAAGAAATTAGCCAGACAACTAAAAATATATAGAAAAAAACTAGCTGGGCATGGTGGGCCTGTAGTCTCAGCTACATCTCGGGACTTGAAGGCGGAAGGATTGCTTGAGCCTAGGAATTTGAGGTTGCTGTGAGCTAGGCTGACGCCACAGCACTCTAGCTCAGGCAACAGAGTGAGACTCTGTCTCAAAAAAAATAAAATAAAAAAATAATCAGGCCAGGCACGGTGGCTCACGCCTATAATCCTAGAACCTCTGGGTAGGCCGAGGCCAGGAGGCGGACTGGATTCGCTCTTAGGTCACGCGAGTTCGAAACCAGCCTGAGCACGAGCGTCAGACCAAGGCCGCCTCCTACTATAAATACGCGAAAGAAATTATTGGCCAACTATATATATAATTAGAAAGATTAGCCGCATGGTGGCACATGCCTGTAGTCCACAGCCTACTCGGAGGCCTGAGGCAGGTAAGATCGCCTGAGCCCAGGAAGTTTGAGGTTGCTGTGAGCTAGGCTACCGCCATGGCACTCAACTCTACCTGCAACAAAAGCACGACTTCTGTCTCAAAAAAGCAGAAACCAAACCAAACAGGCCAGGCCGGTGGCTCACGCCTGTAATCGACCTAGCACTACTGGAGCAGCCGAGGCGGCGGCGGATTGCTCGAGATGAGGAGGTCTCGAAACCAGCCTGAGCGCAAGAGCGACGACCCATCTCTGCTATCATACCATAGAACAGAATTAATATGGCCAAACTAATAATATATAGAAAGAAAGTTTAGCCGGGCATCGGTGGCACACTGCCTGGATAGTCCCAGCTACCTCGGGAAGCCTAGGCACGGAAGATTGCGCCTGAGCCCACGGAGTTTGAGGTGCTGTGCACGCTAGGCTGACGCACGATGGCACTGCACTCTAGGCCTGCGGCAACAAAGCGAGACTGTCTCAAAAATAAATAAATAAATAAATAATCAATATATGATTGATTAAGCTAATCAAGCTAATATATGAATGGATGAAATGCTCTATTCTACTTAGAACTTGTCAGTGACTTCCCATGGAAGACTCTTAGGTAAAGCTCAAACCTTTAGCTCAGCTCTAAAGACCCAAGTCTCAGCCCTCTCTCTTTCTGTGCCACTCTACCCACCCAGGGTAGGGTATTCCTGATGTAGCCGTGAGGCAGGGAAGATGCCACCCATGTCGGCCTGGGAGAGTCAGGGATGGCTCAGCGGGAGGTGAAGCCAGAACCCAGTTCTGAAAGCCACAGCTCTGAGAGGCACCTGAGAGCTGGCCAGGTGAAGAGGGGGTAGGCAGGAACAGGATTCAAAATGACCAAGTGATCTGGGGAAGTGCTAGGGCTTGGGACCCAGGGTGCAATCCGGGCACCCTATATGTGGGTATGAGGGTTCACCAGGGGCTGGAGAGGACAGGGGTCAGGTCCTGAATCTGGCCCTTACAACAAGGGCCCAATCTGCCCTCCGGCTCTTTCCTCTCTGAATGCAAATGTCATCACCCTTTCATGGGTCTAGACCAGCCCAGGAGGATTGATATCCAGCTAATGCATCTTTATCCCTCCTCACCCTCTCATAACTCCCAGACCTTCCCTCACCCTGTTGAGAGCCAATCCTTCTTCGGGGTCTCAGCTCTGGTGTCTCCCCTGCTGGAAGACCTAACAGGCTTTCAGACTGGGTCTGGTCCCACCATGGGCTCACTTAGCCCCCCAATCCCAGCAGTGAACAGTATCAGTCAGCTCTGCAGTTGCCCACCTACTGCTTTTTTTTTTTTTTTTTGAGACAGAATCTCACTCTGCCACCCAGGCTAGGGTACAGAGGCATCATCATGCTCACTGCAACCTCAAACTCCTGGGCTCAAGTGATCCTCCTGCTTCAGTCTTCCAAGTAACTAGGGCTACAGGTGCTTGCCACCATGCCCACCCAGCTAAGCTGGCTACCTCATAATCTTCCCTGCTGGTCACAGGGCTTGGCACCCGCAGTTACCCGCTGGAGGGCACATGAATGAGCAAATGAATGACCACAGTGAACACTCCATAGTCATTTGTCAGCTGGCTCAATGCGCTGCATAGTTCCACAAGCTGGGTCTATATTCTGTCCCCAGCCCTATTCCTTACCGGCTTGGTCCAGTTTCTAAGAAACTTTCTGACTTCACTCCCTAGCACCCAGCTTCTGCGAGGCCTCTGGGAACAGAGCATGGGGCTTTTCTCCAGGCCTAGACCAGCCTCATTCTTTTCCACTTTCATCCTCTTTTCCTTAACTTCTTGAAGCAAAGTCAGGGTCACAAAAGATCCCTCAGGCATCTCCTCCAGGTGCCTCTCCTACCCTCAAAAGAACTACCATCCATAAACCTATCGCTCCAGGTGGATACCCTAGCCCTGGCCTGCGCATACAGACCACAGTTTCGTATGTATTTGTTTATTATCTGATTGTCTCCCCCTCGCAACTGTGGGACAAGGACGGGGCTTGCTAAGCTCACCACACTTGAATCCTAAGTAGCTGACACTTAATAGATTCAGTGACCATGAATTGAATGAACGAATGCAGTTAGGGTTTCTGCTGTAATCCCGGCAGCCGGTGCTGTGGGAATAAGTTTATGGAAGCCCCACGAAACACATAGGGTTACCTCTCTGCCCACCCTAAAGGTTCATTTTGTGTGTCTGACTTTTACAACAGCCCTTGAGGATGGAAAGAATAGTCTCCGCCCAGGCCGCTGACAAGGATAAATTGTTGCAGTGAAATATTTGCACCCCAGGGAATCCCCACCTGTACCCCAGCCCTTGCTTGTTTTCTTTACATGTGAAAGCTCCTTCCAGCAGTTGACTTAATTTACTTTCACATGTAACATAGAATATGTTCACTATGATCTCAGATGTATTTTTTTTTTTTCTTTGAGACAGAGTCTCACTTTGTTGCCCAGGCTAGAGTGAGTGCCGTGGCGTCAGCCTAGCTCACAGCAACCTCGAACTCCTGGGCTCAAGCGATCCTCCTGCCTCAGCCTCCCAAGTAGCTGGGACTACAGGCATGCACCACCATGCCCAGCTAATTTTTTCTATATATATTAGTTGGCCAATTAATTTCTTTGTATTTATAGTAGAGACGGGGTCTTGCTCTTGCTGGTTTCTAACTCCTGACCTCGAGCAATCCACCTGGCTCGGCCTCCCAGAGTGCTAGGATTACAGGCGTGAGCCACCGCCTGGCCTCACATGTATTTTTTAAAAAGCATAGAAAAAAAGATATTACCTCATTGGGGATTATGTTTTTAAAAAAAGTAAAAAGATTGGAAGAAAATATGGTAAAACATTAATAATAGCAGTTGGCAGTTGGTGTTGGGTTTATGGTTAATTTTTTTCTGATTATTTTCTATATTTTCAAAATTTTGCTATCGTGGACTCATATTTTACAATAAAATTTGACATCATCTTTTTATTTTTTATTTTTTTGAGACAGAGTCTTGCTCTGTTGCCCAGGCTAGAATGCCGTGGTGTCAGCCTAGCTCACAGCAACCTCAAACTCCTGGGCCCAAGCAATTCTTTTGCCTCAGCCTCCCAAGTAGCTGGGACTACAGGCATGCGCCACCATGCCCAGCTAAATTTTTCTATGTATTTTTCTAGTTGGCCAATTAATTTTTCTATTTTTAGTAGAGACGGGGGTCTCAAACTCCTTACCTTGAGCGATCTGCCTGCCTCGGCCTCCCAGAGTGCTAGGATTATAGGCGTGAGCCACCGCGCCCAGCCAGAATCTTTTTAAAAGTGTAAAAACATTCCTCTTTATACAACTGGAGCCCTATCCCTTCCGGGTGAGGAACAGGAGGAACAGAAAAGAACTGGTATGCCCCAGTGCCACCCATCTTTCCCAACCCCACCCATCTTTCCCAACCCCAGCTTTGCCCCCCAACTCTGAGCAGGTGTCCCAAGAATCTCAGGACCCCATGGCCAGGCTCAGTGGCTCAGCCTGTAATGCCAGCACTTTGGAAGGCCAAGGCAGGAGGATGGCTTGAGTCCGGGAGTTGGAAACTGCGGTGAGCTGTCATGATGATGCCACTGCACTCTGGCCCAACAACAGACCCTGTCTCAATAACAAACAAACAAACGCAAACCCCTCAGGATCCCAGAACCTTCAGAGAATTTCCTAAGTCCCGCGTTCTTACTGCACTCGTCTTTCCGAATGGCTCGATCAATTCATTACATTCTCCAGCCACACGGACTGAGGCAGCTGTGACCTACCCTCTGACTTCATCTTCCTCATTCTGTTAGCCGCTGAGCTCCACGCATCATGTCTCCGGAATGTCTCCCGTGCTATCTTTTCCTCCTTGCCTCACCCACCACCTGTGCTGACGCAGGCCTTCATTCTTGCTCACGCGGGCTGCTGTCAGAGGTTCTTCACTGATCTCGTCTCCAGTCTGGCTCTGCTTTGGTTGCTCTGTCACCCGTGGCTGGTGTGAGCTTCCTAGGGCAGAGCCACATCAGAGGCTACCTACAGAAGAAAAGGCCCTGCTCCTT